CACGACCAACGACTCATATTTACATAGAACTTTGAGTACTTAGTACTCTCTTACTCCAAAGCTTAGTCAACCTTTCCCTAAAGTGCTTTTCACCTAACATTTACAGTCAAGGAAACTTTAACATGCAGGCTAGAGGAGCTGAGGATCGAACCCATAACCTTCTGATTAGTAGACAACCTGCTCTACCTCCTGAGCCACTAACAAGCACCAACAGCACCAACACCATCCAGAGCTTCTGCTGTTGTCACACCAAGTCATTAAGCTTTGATTTTCTCCCTTCCTCTTGTGTTTGTCCACTCGGTGTGTGTGCCGCCTCAGACCTGCGGTCCGCTCTGGTCTCACGAATGTGGAAGTTCCCTGTACAGCACTGGGATCTGCTCCAGAGTCGGCCGAAACTTCAAGCTGTCCAACACCATCGCACCTGCCCTGCAGAGTAATCAGCACACTTCCATCCACCTATCCGTCCATCTGTCCATCCAGTTTCTAACTTTCTTTTACAATCTTGTAGGGTGTGAGACCTTCATGGACATTGTGATTGTTCTGGATGGTTCCAACTCCATCTACCCCTGGTATGAAGTTCAAGACTTCCTCATAAACATCCTGCACAAGTTCTACATCGGACCAGGTCAGACACAGGTTAGTTTATCTCTTGATCAGAACCAGATAAAGTGAGCGTTTCCTGCCCTATCTGCACACAAAGACTTTGCCTTTAACCCTCTGAGGTCTGAGTCATCATCAGTGACCGGCTCTCAACCCCACACAGTCAGAATATGTCATGCCAACACCAAAACTATTCACATTTTCCCCCCAAAAGTCAATTTTGACCTTCTCCAAAATGTTGGGTTACCACTGATGGCGGCTTAGATCTCAGAGAGTTCATCTGTTCATAGTTTGAAGGTGCTGCATGAGTGGTTTATTGTTCATGTGGACAGAGCTGTATTTTGGCTGCAGGTGGGAGTCATTCAGTACGGCTCTTCGGTTGTCCACGAGTTCACACTGGATGAGTATCAGACGGTGGAGGACGTAGTGGACGCTGCCAGGCGCATCGACCAAAGAGGTGGTGAGGAAACGAGGACGGCATTGGGAATCAACGTGGCCCGGTACGACACCAAATTATGACCCCAAACAAAAATGGGCTGGGCCCACACAAACCTTAAATAGTTATTGGTCTGATACCATTACCCAGCTACTCTGAGCAACCCTGAGAATTTCAGCCATTTACTCATGTTGGGAAAATGGATTGAACCAAAGTTTCCTAGTGT